CGTCCGCGAAAGAATTTCACCCCCGTCGCCGCTTCTCCTTCTCTCCCTCGTCTTCCACCTCTTTCTCCTCTCCTCCTCCTCCTCATTCTCCTCCTCCTTGCCCTCCACAGCCTTGCTCACGGATGTGGAAGCTTCCGCAGCGTCGGTGGGCACACCACCACTATGATCGGTGACGCCGACGCCGCGCACCACCTTCTACTACTCTTCTTCGTTCTCTTCCTCCCTGTCACACCCCCGCCCTTGTCCCTCTGCTCCGCACCCTCCTCCTCTCCTCCTCCCCGCCCTCGCTTCCCGTTTCTCGCAGGAGGAACATGGCTCCCAGGCAGAAGATCCGTCCGTCCACACCCTCGCTCTCTCGAGCAACCCCCGCGGAGCCCGTTTTCTCCGACACGTCTCTCCCCCTCGCCGCCCCTCGACACTTCCCTTGCGCCCCCTTCTCGCTTCCTTTTACCCTCCCGACCCCTGCCACCGCCACCCATCTCCACCCACTCCGTCCACCCTGCCCGCCCTCTCTCCCCCGTTGCATTTTAAATCAAAGCCTCGGATGTAACGCAATCACCAGGCATCACGACGCTTCCACAATTTTCTACTTTAAGCTACTTTATGTATTAGTACCCCCGCCGTGTTCCCTCCTCCCTCCCCCGCTGACCCCTCCTGCCGCTGCCGCCGTCACCGCCGCCGCCGCCGCCGCCGCTGCCGCTGCCGCTGCCGCTGCCGCCGTCGTCCTCGCTCCTCGACGGTACCAAGCAAGGCGTGCAGCTCTTCTCCCCGACCGTCTCTCCCTCGCCCTGCCCCTGCCCCTCCGCCAACAACCCCCGCCCCCCGCCGCCCCGACGTCAGTGCCCGTCACATCCCCGCTTCGCGTAGCGCCGTTGCTCTTCTGTCTCGCGGATCCTTTTCTCCCGCACTCTCACCCCCTCTGCATCTCCTCGCACCCCTTGACCACCGTCAACCTCTCCCTCTTACCCCCCCGCCTCCGCCGCTCCCCACGAGCACGAGCTGGTAACAAGGTTATTTTATTAAACGAACCTCCACCGCTCGCTCGCCAACGTCGCCGGAATTCGAGACGCGCAGGAGAGTCTAACCGCGAGCGAGATACCACACCGCTCGTCCGTACAAACAAAACGAGAGAAGGCGGGGACGGTAGGGGTAGCGCTGGCCGCGGAGCGTTAAGCAACGTCGGTGTACGCAGGGTAAATATGTTTGCGGAAAAAGTGGAGCGTGCAGTCGAGGAGATCGATTAATCCGAGTCCACTCAGCTTGCTCTTTCGGCGCAGGATAAGGGGCGCGTGGTCGGGGTAGGAGTCGTCGCGATGATTTCGAACGCTGCCGCGGACTCGCGCGCGAGGTGACCGGAACGTCGATCATTTCTCGCAAGCGGAGTTCCAACCATTCGAGATGTGGCAAAGAAGCGCAACGGTCACGAGTTACTTTGTTTTACCGGGTGACTCCTTATTGGCTATTTTACGCGATTGCTTATGTCCTGCGTAAGGACGCGACGACGTTGTGTCAACGTCGGTCACTGGCAAATCCCACGACGATCCAAGTGTCGAGCGAATAACTCGTTTACGCCCTTCCTACGACCGCTTTTCTTCCGCTTCTCCTGCCGCTTCACGGCGCGCGTCATCCCCGTCCAGCGGGGAGGTTCGCCGCGTCCGCGGCAGTTCCAGCGGAACGACGGAAACTCGCTTAATGCGTTTCGCGCGGAAGGAAGCGGCCGTCTCCGCGATAAACGACCGCCGGCGGGGGGAGAAACGGGGGGAGAATATTTTTAGTATACCCCCTCGCTCTCCCGTCTCTCCCCCCGACGGCCTTCCTTTTCCCGCCGCGGTCCAAATGGACTGGACAGCCGGACGACGTTCCGGGGTGGTTACTTATACCGAGGGGTGCGGCGTGAGGAGAGAACGACAAGCGAGGGTGTGTGTGTGTGTGTGTGTGTGTACGCGCGATATACAGTTCGCAAACGTGGCGGCGCGGTGTAATCCAGTCACCACGTAACGCGATTACGCTTCTAACTCGGCCTCTCATTCTGTCCAGCCTGCTCCTCCCCGGCCGCTCTCCGCTCCGGCCCCCTCTTTCCCGCTTTTTCAAAACCTCTCCTCTCTTTCTGCGGCCGCGCGCGCTCCCGTCGCTCTCGCGGCCGAAACTCGCGAGCAGGCTGGAGGCTGAACGACGAAGCCGAGAGAATCGCCGCAGTCGGCTGCTGCGAATGCTGGCAGCCTTGATAGATGACGGATCGGCTGAAATTTTCGACGTACACGTCGTTATCCTGTCGTTATCCTGTCAGCCGACAGCCTCGGGCAACGGGGAAAGTCAGTTTGCACGTCGCTCGCCGTGCGCGACACAAACCGCGGTCACCGATCCCAAACTTGGCGACCTCGAGTTCGCGCTCGTCCTGGCGTGCGCCGGGCAGCGGAAGTTTCCGCTACTTTCCGACGTTGTCGGAGTCCCGCGGGTGCCCGCCGCGCCAGGAAAAGAAACGTTCTTCCCGTGTTTCGGACTCGTCGTGATTCCCCATTAGCGTTGCATTCATTTGTAAGCAGCCGCTCCTGCTTTTTTTTCAGGATCGACGCAAGCGATTAACTACTTTTTTGTAAAGCTGGACTGACATTGCCATGGTTGCGACTCGTACACGTGAAATATGAAGCGAGCGATTAGTGAAATGAGGATTGAATTCGAAGTATATTTCGAGTGTAAAAGGAGGGCGTAGGGGAGAGAACGGGCGCGCAGGCTTCTCAGGCGCTCGCTCATTAGTCGCGCTCGCGAGCGCTGATAAGCGGGATACATGTGATAAGGCGGCGGCAATCGAATCGGGCGGGAACGCTCGGCGAGACGTTTCGCTCGCGAGCCCAAATCCGCGCGCGCTCTTCTTCTCCTGCGACTCCGTCGCTCGCTCGTCCAAAGGATACTCCCCTCGGCGAAGGGTGACGACGCTCGCGGGGAGGACGAGGTGGTACCGCAGTTAATACGCGCTCCGGAGGATCGCAATGGACTCGAGGGGCTAAACGCGATTTACACCATGACGACTATCGCCTCTCTCTCTCTCTCTCTCTCTCTCTCTCTCTCTCTCTCTCTCTCTCTCTCTCTCTCTCTCTCTCTCTCTCTCTCTCTCTCTCTCTCCCCTGCCAAGTGCCTGTGTGCAGCCCCGTGAACGGACAAGGGAGGGTGGACGAAGGCGAGGGGGAGGAAGATAGAGGGAAAAGAGGGTGAGTTGTTACGACACACCGGGAGACATGAGATTCCGCTCGCGCTCGCGGTTACGACGAGAGGGCGGAGGGGGTGAGAGTAACGCAGGGAGGCCGGGAGGGTGGGAACGAGGGAGAGGAAAAGTAGGGATGTTTGTCGTACGCGTTATTTGGCCAATAAAACCACGTGGCGGCGCACGGAGCACCTCCGCGTCGCCGTTCGCCGAGAGACGATCGTCGAAAAGAGCGAGAGAGTGACAGAGCGAGAGAGAGAGAGAGAGAGAGAGAGGGAGAGTGAGTGAGAGAGAGTGAGAGAGAGGGAGCGAGCGAGCGAGGAGCAAGGGAGAACCGACCGCGCGATTTCATCAGGAGGGGGAAGCGATTCCGCGAGAGGGGGGACAAGAGAAACGACGTGATAGGCCACGCCTCGTGGTATTTTGAGCGCGTGTGCAACTCCGCCTATCGCGAACACGCTTCCCGTCATGGTGAGGCGCGTTATACGCGACCGTCCGCGACTTCGCGACCACGACGGACACCGTCCGCGACACGTCGTCGTACGCGACACACTCTGTCGTCCGGGTTGTTGGGGTCCTGTCGCGCCTCGCAGCTCACGCATCGCGCTATTCGGAGGATCTCCGGACTGAATAGACAGAAAGAGAGGAAAAAAGAGAAAGAGAGAGAGGGGGAGAGAGAGAGAGAGAGAGAGAGAGAGGGAGGGAGAGAGAGAGAGAGAGAGAGAGAGAGAGAGAGAGAGAGAGAAAGAGAGACAGGGAGAGAGGGAAAGACAGAGGGTACCCCCGTCGACCCACGTCGTCGCGCGCTCATTCACGAGGAGCGATCAGATCCGAGTATATCACGTGAAAAGTCACTCACCTCGGGCCAGTAGTCGAGCCCGTCCGATATCCCGACCGGTCTTTTGGGATTCGAGTTCCCCCATTCGGCCTTAGTCGCGTGGATCGCCGCTTCCGAAGAGGATCCTGTGAAACGTCCGTCGTCAACGTCCCCTTAGGCCACGCTTCGCCTTCGCTGCGCGTCTCAGTCAGGAATCGAGTCCTGGCGGAAGCGTCCTCGCGCGCGATGCCTAGGTCCAGTCTGAGGGGTGGCAGCGTTGTCCTTTGAGCCGCTGCTTAGAGAGAGAGAGAGAGAGAGAGAGAGAGAGAGAGAGAGAGAGAGAGAGAGAGAGTGCCACGTGAAGCAGGGAGAGAGTCCTGCAGCCTTTCGGTCTCCACGAGTGCTCGCGACTTCCTCGTCGACGGATGATGATATCGTTGACGTCTCCGAGTCGGCTCTCACGCGACACACTCGGGGCGTTCTGACGCCGTTGCGACTCGCCGATCGCCACGTCCTTCGTGACTGCCGTGAGAAGGAAGGCGGACTAACAAGAGCAACGCGCCCGGCCGGCCACGCGAGCGAACGTCAAATCGCGCGCGCCAGGAGCCGGCTGTCACTTTCGCGACGGACGTCGCGCTCGACGCTCCGCGCTCGACTGCTCGCCGTTCGGAAGCCACAGGATCGGATTCCTCGTGAAGAAACCCGCGACAGTCTGCGCCGCCGAGTCGCGATCACGACGATCGATTGTGCGTTACGATCGAACTTAGCGATCATCGGGTCACGACGAATGCGGGTCAGTGAGAAGAAGGATACGTCAGGGTACGTTTGACGACTACCTGTCTCCGACGTGGTCGTCAACGTGACAGCGCCGAGGAGCGGACCCGCGCGGCCGACACGTGTCGATCGCGAGGACGACGGCAAGAGGGAGAGAAAGTAAAGCGCCAGGCCGGACAAGTGCGAGCGGAAGTAGTGAATAGCGGGAGCGACGTGTCATCGATCGGGGATCGAGCACGATCGACGTCCGTCGTCGTCGGCCGGTTGCTGACAGCCGACGTCAACTTCGCCGAAGGAGGCAAGCGCGACGCGGCGGCGGCGGCGGCGGCGGCGGCAGCAGCAGGAGGTGCGAACGAGGCTCATCGCGCTGCGGGATCCGCGGCAGTGCGGAGACGGTCGAGAAGGTGTTGTTCAGTCACAAGTCCAGGATTCTCACCCCCGGAGGCGGCGCCATCTCGCCCGGGGGCGCGGGGCCACCCGCGAGCCCATCGCCGGGGCACTATCATCCACCTACGCACAGTCCGCCGCTGGTCAAGGTGAGTCCACCCACCCTCTCTCGCTTCGGCACGCAGGCAACACTCCCTGCGAATTCCAGCGCCGATCGCCGCGCCGGCGACACGTGCGTAGCGCGAGAAGCACTCGCGGGCGAGCAAGCACGGAGGGAAAGAATCGGTTGCGACTTGACGCGACGGCGAACGAGCATCAACCGGACGCGTTCTGGTCGATGGAAGCTAGAATATCCGGTTCTTAGCGGCGAATTTTATTCATAGGAAGCACAGAAGTCCCGCTTCTCGCGATCAAAATGTGTTTGCTCCCCGTTCATTCGAGCGAGAGAGCTTTTTTCTCCACGGGGCGCACACCGAGGAAAAGAAAGACAATTGATCTCGCCGAAAATTCAACTCATTCGCGGCAACAGTCATGTTTCGTCGTTACTCCAATAGAGAAGCGATAGTAGCGCGATATTAGCGATAATTTGCGGTGCTAAAGGCCGGATTTACGAGGAACCGGACAATTTCGGAGGGAAGAAGTTCCCGGACGAAAGATTTTTCGAGCAATTAAATGCTGGCAATTGCGCGATGAATGAAGAATTCGCGAAAGCGCGTCGCTCATCCCGATACAGCTTGCGCGCAATTTATGAACCTCGCGGGGTTTATGAAAATCGCGCCGCCGAATTTATTAATTCGGTGTACGACGGTGGTGGAAATTTGATCCTAGCCTCCATTTCAGAACCTAGCGGAATTGTAGGATCTTGTCACACTTAAGTGGCCTGCTGGGGAGGCTAGAGCGGATGAACGTAATGAGCGCCGTGAGACTTATTATTTGCATTTGTGTGCACTCGCCACTTTAAATAATAGAAACGACACCGAAAGATTTCTCCCGTGTGACGTGCCGTCGTTTGCGCTCGTGAAACCCGATTTTCAAACCCGGAGACACGCAGAGAAACAGAGAGAGAGAGAGAGAGAGAGAGAGAGAGAGAGAGAGAGAGAGAGAGAGAGAGAGAGATTGAGAGAGAGAGAGACGCACGAAATCTCATTCGACCTAGCGTCGCGGTGAGTCAGGATATGTATATTACTTCAAAAGTAACCCCCTCGACCATCATCGAATTACTTTAAGATTAACCGTTAGGTGTCGTGTGCGAACTAGCGCATGACGTAATAAAGCTCTGAGTAGAAAATTGGCCCGATTCGCGCGCGCACGGGCGACTCGCTCGTTCCATTTTCCATAAATAATTCGCATCGCGCGATCGATTCACGCGTCATTGTATCGGATCGACGTGCGGGTCGTTGCGGAGATCCCAACTTTCGTGAATAACGGAATAATTTTGTGACCAAGCACGGTACATGCGGAGAAGTATACACTTCCTTTTAGACAAATAATGTGGAAAATAATATACTTGCTTGCACCGGGAAAAAAAAAAATTTTGCAATATAGCGTTCTCATGAACTTTCACTTCGCGGACGGGGAGGAGATGAAAACATCTCCGGCTGGAGCTCTTCTGGGCACGAATTTTCCGGCGGGTTTTGTCCGCATTACGAGGCGACGCGAGGAAGCCGCGATTGCGGATAAATAAACGCGATAAATAAACGCGATAAATATAATGTACACCGAAGTTGAACGGATTACCTCGCCATTTGGCAGCGAGACTAATTCGCTTCTACGCCGCGAACGGACGATGGATGGACACGCGCGCGGTTGGCAGCGTTCGCTCGACGTTGTGCATCATTTTTCTGGCCGTATCGGGCGAGATATTTGACGCGAGAGATAACGATCCCCCGTTGATGGGGATCCAAGACGCCCGCCGCCGAGAGTGACTCGTCGTCGACACGAATCGCAGGACCGGGGCCGGCGGAACGCCGGGTATTATGATCCGCGGATCTGTAGCAATTACGCGGCGCAGCCGATAATTCCGTTTTAGCTTGAAACTTGACTTTGCGCTAACAGGATTAATTTGTAGCACGTTCGGGTGACCGCTTATTCTAAGCGCGCACCGTCGAATCCCGCGTGAGCCACCGGGCGAACTTTAAGCCGGGCGCATTATTTATGTCGTGCATTGTCACGACTGCGAACGCCAAAGGTGGACGGATCTTCTTAGCGCGACGCCACGTCGAGGGAAATATCGCTCCTGTCGATGTCGACGAGCTCGAACGTCGGCACGAGCGTCCTTCGATTCACTTCTTTATGCGCGCGTCTTATATTTATATATCATTTTTTCACATTTTCGAATAATATTCGTAATGGCACCGCTCGGTATTTTTTTCTCTCTCCCTGCAATTCTTTCGTCATCGCTCTTCTGTTACAATCGCAAAGAGAAAAAGAAGGAGTAACTTACGGAGTTATCCTGAATAATTGATGGCCGATAACGCCTCGCCTTGCGGGTATGTTGATGGCAATTTCGCAGTTGATCTCTCTCTCCCACCGTTCTCACTCCGCGCGAGCGTTCAATTATCGCTCTCTTGTCTCCCTCTTTTTCTCCTTGAATTATCTCTCACCTCCCTCGCTCGCTGCTTGACCGCCGCGCTTTCCCTGCCGGTAAATCCGCCCGGACGAAAATATCAACCCCCGTTCGCCAGTATTTGGCCGAGCGCTCGAACGTCCCTCCTCGACGCGGTTTTATCGGCGACTTTGTGTCTCCCTCCCCGTCGCATCCCTCCCCCGCACCGACATGTCCCGGATTCTCTCTTCTTTCTCTTCGTCTCCCTCTCCGCGTCACTCCCGAAATCAAGCGTGATCCCGGAATTTGACGCGACAAGCGCAATACGATATCGTCCTGGAAAAGCGCCTGCTCTTTATGGTCACGTAATAACTGTGCGGGGGTGGCGGCGGCGGCGGCGGCGGCGGCGGCGGCGGCGACGGCGACGGCGGTGGCGGCAACGAGGAACAGTTTCGCACACCCGTAAGGGAGAAAAAGGGGAGAAGGCGGGCGGGGGGACGGGAGAGGGGACGTGAGAGAGCGGTAGAGACAGAGGACGCGAAGCGCGGTAGGTAGACGAAGAAGAAGAGGCCCGACGATGATGGGTATAAGGGCGGCTGTCCGAGCTCGTTTTCGTCAACCACCGCTGCGAATCCCTCCGGGGACCGCGCGGCAGCTGTCTACGGCCGGGGCTTTCCCGTCGCTGGGAGCACAGTCGAAACTTAACGCGGAACGATTCTTAATTCGGTGCGCCGCCGGAACTGCCGCGGTCGGCCTCGTTCACTCGCGACTCTCGATCTCGTGTCCTCGAGGGGCAGTCGATGAGAGGAGAGGAGGATTTGCATGATGAGGGCGAAGCGTCGCTGTAGCCGTCGCGGAACAGGGACGTCCGAGTTCGCAAAGTACCGAGACACACTTACCCCCGACGCGGTTTCTTCGCTTTCGTCTTCGTCTTCTTCTCCTTCGCGTTTAAAGAGGATCTTACGAAGATCGCGGATTCGATCCGGGCAATGAAGAGAACCTACGAGGTGATTCTCACGAATTTAGCGGGCCCGCGGAAGAAAGAAAAGAAATTACGCAATGGGAAGAGAAAAATGGCTCGAAGGTCGAAAGGGAAATCAGCTGGCTTAAGTGAAAGCAAAGAAGAAGAAAATTCGTCAAAGTAAGAAAACGTGATTGTTTTCAACACGAACAATTGTTCCTTTTTTCTCGAGCAGATCGCCCGCGCGGTATCTTCCCGCGGTTCGCGTGCACGTGACGAGCGTGACGTCAACGACGTCGGTGTCACAGAGTTATCAAGTCGGGATATAAAAGAGCGAGAAGGGTGAAGGGCCATGCGGCCCTGCGAGAACGCTCGCACACGCGCCCGACACTTTCGCTCTGATTAAGCTTAATTCATTCCGTCGACGAGAAGCGAGGCTGCAGAAGACGTTACGCTAACTTACTGCCCTAACGCTGCCGGCTTGCGCTGTCTGCCGTCCAATCCTGCCAACTTAACCTCATTAATAAATTAATTAGATATTATTGTGTCGGTAGCCAGGGCGGCAGCTGCGGGTACGCTCTTCTCCTCCTTCTCCCACCCCCCACCCCCTTCTCATCCACCACTTCTTCCTTCCCCTTCTCTTTCTCGTATCGCACTTCTTCCCCTCCCCACCCCCTCCCCCGCCCTTGTCGCCGTTCCATCACGGTGTCTGTCTCCTTGTCGTTCTTTCCCGTCTTCCTTGAACCCGCAGACGACGCAGGCGACGGTCAGATATGAGCTGGGAGGGAAGGGTGAAGGAATCAGAGTGACGTCATTTCTTATAATGACAAAACGCGTGTTATAACCGCCCGCTCGCTTGTTCGCTCGTTCGCTCGCGCGCTACCCGCACATTTTTTTCGATTTGATTTCATCGGACAACCGTCCGACATACTGCGTCGTGTCTCGTCTCCTCCGGCTTCAATGAGGTCCTCCGCATTTGACGCAACATTGTGAGATGTTCAAAAGTGAAGATCGTACGTTGCGAAGTTCTTGCTTCCAAATTCGCCGACGTGTATTTCCAAAGTAAAGCTGAAAATTTTATTCAGACAATTAGAAATTCCGTTTTAGGAGATTTAATTGCCGAAATTCAGAAAAAACAGAGACGATTTTCTCCCTGCTTCCCGTCTCCCGTCTTCAGAGACGCGATTTTGAGGAAAGACTTTATTGCGAGTCGTCGATCGAAATTACGGATCGCGAAAATCGCGATGAATCGCGCACACGCGTTTCGCGGAGCGCTGCGGACTATCCAAGGAGCCGGTCGCGGCTCTCATTACCGGACCGGCATCGCTCGTACTGGTAATGACAAAAAGCACATGCAGCATTATCATTGCGGAGCGTATGGCATTAAGCTGTAGGGGGTCAGGATTAGGATGTCGGCCATTACCGCGCGTCACTGACCGTTTATTCTGCGCCGTGCACGGTGCGGTGACTTCCTCTAGACGCGTGTGTATGCCTGCTATAACCGGAGGATGAGGACGCTCGCGAGGCCGCCGTGCATTCTCTATAGGCGTGATTCACCTTTCGATATCAATGTCAATCAAGCTGAATCGCCCGTCTTCGTTTCGTTCCGTCGCGTTTCAGCGCTCGATCGTGCGACGCGACAC